TCCATCATAGGAGTTCCGTATGATATTTACTATCTTCTCAGGCACGCCGTGGTGTCGAAGAAGCTTCCATAGTGTCGTCCTGTTCACACTATCAAATGCCTTCTCGTAGTCGATGAAGTTGATGTAGAGTGATGAATTCCATTCGATTGATTGTTCCACAATGATACGTAGAGTTGCGATTTGATCTGTGCACGATCTATCCTTACGAAATCCAGCTTGTTGATCTCGAAGTTGGGCGTCCACGGGGCCAGACCAAAACATGGCACAAATCTATGAAGTCACTGAAAAGTGGACTGAGCCATGTTGGTAGGTGTAGACTACCTGGTTGGGATCCGCGAGATGATAGCGACTGATTGTTAGAGATCTTGAATGACATGGCTCAAAATCGTTTGCAATGGCGAAGGTGCATCCACTCTTAGTGTTCTCCCAAATTCTAACCTTCTGAATTCCTCATGTCTCTATCTTTTTCTCTTTCCAAATTTATTTCACTGGATTGTACTCCTTTAATAACATCTTCAAACCCTAATCTTCCAGACTACTGCTTATACTCTTACTATTTCTACCACTATGTGATTTGAATCGACAACTGCATCTCTGTGCTAATGTGGTATGGCAACTCGAACTGATGTACGTGCGTACGAAGTTCTACGTTGTTACTGACTGAAGTGATATTATCTCTAGTTAAGTAATTGGATGGCCGTAAAAAGCTTTTTAAAAAAATATTTGGGGATTGACTAGCTGTAACCAGTTATTGAATATCATATTGGCGAAATCTAAGTATTTTCAGAAGCTTAGAAAATGTAATAAATCAGTAACTGTAAACAGTTTGTAAAATGACTATATGAATGTTCGAGACTTGCTATTCTATGTAAAACAGGATCTTGATTGTGGAAGTTAATGGTACGTTTATGATTTAGGTATCAGCTGTTTAAAAAAGTAGTTTAACTAAGGGCTCAAATAATTTTTTAAGGATAAAAATGCTCTACTGAAGTACAAAACTGTTTGGCATTCGGAAAGACAGGTCAGTTATATGGATTTTGTTGACTGGAATCATCTGCAGGAAAAGACAGGTCAGGTCGAGATATGGGCTTTATGACTCCAAGTGGTACTGATTTTGAAATGTATTAATATTAATTTATTAAATTGTCAAATATAAGGTTGATGTTGTAGTTCCAGACCCTGTAACTAACTTTGTATATGAGATGACAAACATTGCTTATCTAATTTAACCTCAGTAGGAAGCCATATAAAACTGCAGAGACTGAAAATCCAAGACAGATAAATTGTTCATACAATGAACTGTCAGTCTTGTCTTTCTGCCATACTTCTGTTAAAATCTAAACGGATCGAAAAGTTCTCATCAAAAGATCTTGGCATCAATCATAAAGTTCGCTAATGAAATCTTATTAATTTCATCTAAAATATATATTGAACTAATCAAGTGTTTGATAGTTAGAAAGCACTTATATTGCGCCATCGAGCTATTTCTCAAAAAAATTTACGTGATTTATTTTATTAAAAAGCTGTGAAAACGTTTCAAAACCTACTGATCCTTTGCAATATTGTTTTAAAGAAAGGCACATTCTCTAATTGTTCAGACAAAAAGAGTAGACATATATGATATGATATGCTTGAAAGCTAAATCGATTCCGCGGTAACGAACGAAAGCCAATGACACAATAAGCTATTCTAATCTGTTGTCCCAGGCCCCGCTAACTAGATGAAGAAGTCCAAGGCAAGTAGGGGAATATATATCTATTCCGTAAGCAGCCGAGTACAAGCAATCGAATAAGGGAAAAGTCAAGCGCATTTATACAGCAACAATTTGTCCTTGAGCATCATTAGTAAATAGCACACACAAAGAAACAATGGACCAATAGCGTCTAAGATAGTCTACAAGTGGGAAATATGACGTGAAGGTAAAAAGAGCGCGTTTGGCGCGAAAACAACTAAATTCAAATTTTCAAAATAAAATTACAAAACTAAGCCATTTACCAAGTAAGTTCTGGGGATTTGACATCCCCAACAACGTAAGAATGATGGATGAAAACCACATGAAATCTGCAATTATTGATCTGATATCATAGGACTAAAAACCACACTCATATTAAATTTCTAGATGTGACAAGCTTTTTGAATAAAGTTATGGAATTAATGAATCATTTCGAAGATAATAAAAAGTCGTGACATAAAGAGCAGATAAACAGTCAAAAGGCTTACAGTACTGTAGTTCTTAAAAGTTCATTAAACTGTTTTCTGTTGCCGCTTGTTTATAAGTAGCTTCAAATCAACAGTGCATAAGCTGCAATGTTTATCAGATCAGGGCAAAATGCTGTGGAGTTAGGTCGCAGTACAAAAGAACTTTGTAAATATTGGAAGGATTTTGATTAGGTTTTATGTGATAGACTGGTTTCAACTTCAAAATGGAATGATGCCGTCCAGCTCTAAGTTTTATGAGGAATAAAAAAATATTTACTAGAAAATGAAAAACAACTCGTTTGAAATTACTTGTTATGTTATCGTCGTCGTAACGAAAAGAGTAATTTGTTTTGGTGAGTTAAGAAACATGACCAATATAAACAATTATCGTGTTTATATTGTTTAAATTTCGGACTAAGCGATAATTTTACTCTAGAAAATAAACAATTTAAGAGTGTAATATATTCGGCCTATATCAATAAAGCTGTTTAAGATTTCATGACATTCAAGAAAAGTCTTAAACTTACAATGAACAGTTAATGACAAAAAAATGATATCAAGATCGCCAATGCTTCACCACCGTCAAGCCACATCATTTGAGATGTAACCACTGAGCTATTCAGTGCGTCTTGTTGACGAGTACCGACTAGCGTAACATGACCATTGAGAATTATCTGTCGACTTCCTCTAACCACCTAACATCAAAAAACAGTCCACACAAAGTGGAGTCACTTAGACTAGTCGTCAAATTGCAACTTGGTCAATAGAATCCAATAAGGATTAGAAATGCTGGTTTTTACTCAGTGAACAACCAACAAAGATTGACTTTAGAAAGATAAACGTTGGAAATAATAAAACACTCTCTCCTTTCGTTAAGAAACAATAACATAACAAGTAATTTCAAACGAGTTGTTTTTTATTTTCTAGTAAATATTTTATTTCTCCTAAAACTTAAAGCTGGATGGTATTATTCCATTTGAAAGTTGAAGCCAGTTCATCACATAAAACCTAATCAAAATCATTCCAATATTTACAAAGTTCTTTTGTATTGAGACCTAACTTCTTAGCTTGTTTAATTGTTAGCAGAAATTCAATTATTCATTAATAATACGCTCATTGACTTTCATGAATAAGTCATTGATTAATTAATAGTATCAACTCCTAATTAGTATTAATCGTAGACAGTTAACAAAAGAATGCAATTTTAATGATAAATTGATAAACACTAGAAGTAATATATTGTGTTTAAAGGTAACCAGTTAGAAACAATATACAAGCAAGGAAATATGTGTATCGATTCAAAATGGTATGCAAAGTAAGAAAGACTTAATAAGATGAAAAATATAAATGAGACAAAAATATTGGTGTCATCAAAACATAAATTAAAATTAAATAATTTATTTTGAGAAGACTAAATAAAATGGAAAGCTAAAATGTATGAAACAATATTGTAATTTAACATTCATATATGCAGATAACGATGGATTATGTCTGTATTATTGTGATCACTTTGTAACCGGTGGTAAAGCTTAAACAGTCTAGAGTTAATACGACAAAAAGTAATCACTTACTTATGTGATCGACCTTGGACAGTTGTTCTTTAATCAATGAATTTTCATGTCATAGAAACTATCAATACTAAAGTGCATTTGTTTACAGATCCCAATAAGAATTAATTATAGTTTTTTAGTTGTGAGAAACTAAGAATTATCAGTCACTCATGAATCTTCAAAAGGATTTATTTAAAGATAGTGAGCTAAAAAATGTATTGGATACAAATTCATTACACCTTTGACGTTTATCACTTAAATGTTTTTCTAAATTTCCTGAAACTTATAATGATAAAGGTGTTGGGTTGATCCTGAAAATTTCTCGAAATAGATATGACAAGCTCAGGAAACATTAAGAAGCATTACATCTAATCAGCGTTGATTAGAAGTTTTGCTAGAAATATCGCGAAAATGAAAAGTCACATGTAGAGGTTTTGATTGACTGATTACTACACTGCTACTATGTTTAGTAGTACTCTAGAATTTTCAGGAAAACCTAAGGACTTTTAAAGTACTTCCCGCATATTTTGTGCCTTTTCTTTCGTGTTCAAGTCGCTGTGTAGTTCTAGCTTGGGGGAACAAGACTAGCATAAGATCCGAGTATAGAGTTCAGTCAACAAAACATATCAGTGGTGACGGGGAAAAACTACAATAACCAAGACTTATCAGAAGGTTTACATTTAATATCACCGTCTACAAATATAAAGATAGTAAAGTTAAGTGGATAAAAAAATTGATGTCACAAACTGAGTGTAATTTAATGAAAATTATGATAAAACGTACTAATGTAATGATTTACACTAAACCATGAATGTTCTAATAGTCTTATTTATATGTATGATTAATTGTACAATTTGTATATAATGGCGATTATAGTCACATTATTAGCATGTTCACTTCATTTATTTTATTTATTTAAACACATAAATATTGGTACAAAGGGGCATCAGATTTGTAAGGGCTGTGATACTGCCCGGGTGCCCAAACCGAAACAGGTAGTTTTCTTAGGGTGCCATAACCGGAGCCTTTGACCTAAAGGTCTGATCCACAAGGCAGTGGAGCATCGTGAGGAGATGCAGTCCTATGGTAGCCGGTGACCAACGATTGATTCATACGTCATTTGTTCCCTCAGGATACTGGAGTCCATGTGCACTATTGGTTTGGAATCAGGGTTTTTCAACTCCCCTAGGTGGACTTCCCGTGTCCATCAACCCGGCTAAAGCGCCGGACATTTGCTTTTCGTCCTCTCAATTTCGTAAACAACAGTAATGCCACGAGAAGCTAGTGAGTAGGATTTCCCTATCAGAGGCTATATAAGCGTGGCCATATAAGAGCATTTCGAGAAGGAGAGCTCTCGGCCGTACCAGGGCAGTTAGGGGCAATGTTCACTACAACGATCCTATGTTTATTTATTTCATTTATGCTTTTAAAATTTAATTATATGTATATGTATATATCGGTTAGCCATCTCAGAAGTAATAAATTTATTGACTATCATTATGATTATATAGATATATGTAATAAGGCAGACATAATATACTTAATGTATAGATAAAAAAAAGCGGAAAAAATTCCCATTTACAGATGTCATGAAATATATTTACTACTATTGAACAATTAATAAACATAGGAACTTTGACAAAATCTATACTTTACATATATATTTGTAGGTAATTGTTGAAGTATCTATTGAAATGACAGTGTAACTACTTATATGAGTGTATGCATTTACAATTTATATATGTTGAGTTAGATGAAGCTTTTCTAAATAAGTAATAAAAAAATGAAACATAGCAAATGAAGGTAAACGACATCAAAGATGACATACTACTACCACTACTATGTTTCTTTTCTAGTTATTGTAACAGCGATAGCTTATATCTATATATGCACACATACATATATATATATATGATGTCAAAGTATTTTATGAAGATATATTAGAATTGGATTTTGTTTTCTATGTAAATATTACACAATAACAGGTTGATTTGTTCTACCTATTGGATTGGAAACATTTTCTGTGTTTTCATTATTCATTGGTAATAATGATGAAGTTGATGATTGTTGTTGTACTTCACTTTGTTGACGCCATAATTGAGTATAACGACTTTTAGGATTTAATAATAATTCTGAATGTGTACCACGTTCAACAATCTCACCTTCATGTAGTACTAGAATTTCATTTGCATTAACTATTGTTGATAAACGATGTGCAACAATTAAAGTAGTACGATTTTGTGCAATACGATTTAAACTAGCTTGAATATTGCGTTCTGTTGTTGTATCCAATGCTGAAGTAGCCTAAAATGTATGTGAAAAAAATCGTATATATGTATGTATTACATGTAACTATTATTGGAATGATGGACTCATTCGAGTTGAGGAACAAAACTTTATTAGAAAAATATATTCAGTAAAATAATTATGAAGTGGTTCATGTTGTGACATAAAAAATAAACAAAGGACGTATACTAATTCGTTATTGGCTTTCATGTCCGCCTTTTATCACGTGAATTATTTACCAATCGAAATACGACTTTTCCTATCTCAACACTGTGCCATTCAATTACTTTCAACTGGTATGAGTAATCTAGCGTCCTTATTGGTCCTTTATCCGCAAAGCCCTTCCAGTTGAGTCCAGAACACCAATGACAGCTTCTGTTATGCGAATCGTTTATTTCAAACATACTCTGTTTATATATCAGACAGACAGACTACATCACACCATAAAATAGAAAATAAAATTTGTACAAAATTAAGCCAAATGTGGCTGTGAACGTGGGAGACAATAATCAATAAACTGAATATAGTTTAGGAGCAGTAAATCGTATAATAACAATCAATAGGTCAAAATGAAGCTTATAATAAGATGAATATAGACATAGATAATTTAGTTACTGAATAGTTATACAACAGGAATGTGCATAGAATAATCATCCATTCATAGGTCTTGGGAGTTACCCGTAATTATGTGTTCGCTAAGATATAACAGTTCAGTTTAATAGGATGAAGTTTACTACCACGCAATTAGTTAAAAATCATAATAATCGTAAAGAAAATAGCTTTATAACACAGAATAATGGATATAAATGCTATAATTTGAGATGAATTGAAAGTGTGTGTAAATAAAACTGGTCACCATATCATACGGGTGTACAACGCAGGAGATTTAGTCTTTGTCTTTACTTATATTTTTCCTCAAACTATATCCTCTATATCTGATCCTTCGTACTACCACAAATACTATTACTCTTTAAACTACTAGCTGTACTGATATACTTTGGTATTTTAAATCGATGAAAAAAATGTACCAGTTTCGTACGTTGCACATAATTGACTGATTGATATCACTCTCTGATTATCAATGTTTTTGTACACTATTCAAACCTACATTACATAAAAGGGTCATATATCTATTCTATTCAATGTATAGATAAATATGAGATGATAAGATATTACAGATTTCAAGAAAGATTGATTGAATTCATTCAACATTAATCAATTTTGAATAAATATTGTTTAATATCTTCTTTAGTATCTTACATGGATTAGCTAAAAAGCCTGTACTCATGACAACGTTACACTAATCGACAATAAGGTGTCTAGGAGCATATAAATGAATATAATACAAAATAATTAGATATGATGAAGAGATTTTAAATATGAAATGGCTTACATACAAATAAACATTTACATAATATTCCCGCTTAGATAAACTTTAAGTAAAGTTTCATTAAAAGTGAAATACTATAAGTATCATTACCAAGTTTTGATTTGACAATTTTGAATAAATTGAGCATTGGGTAGATTGTTATAAATAAATAGTAATATATTTGTAATATCCCAATGAGTAGAAGAAATTAAATTTTCTGACGTTTCATGACTTAATGTAAGCCACTTCTTCAGAGAATAAATAACCCCATTCTGAATTTGATTATTTATTCTCTGAAGAAGTAGCTTATACTGAGTCACGAAACATCAGAAAATCTAATTTTTTCTATTCATTGGGATATTACAATTATATTACTATTTATTGATAGTGAAATACTATGTTATTCAATTAATTTAAAGAATATAGAAATAGACAATATTAGAAATAGAATGAATTTCTCATTCCCTCTAGAAAAAGAAAATTGATATCTTAAAGTTAATTAGATATATCTAATAACTTTTATTTAGAGTAAGTCCCAATCATGTAGAGAATTATTTGTTTGTTTTATATTATTCCTTTTATTAAATAATAATCATGATTAATTTTCAGTTGATTCAAAGAATATTAACCTAAACTTATTTTGTTATTTTAATAGTTGAGATCATGATGCAATTGAAGCTAGTCCAACATGAAAAACCTAGAAGCACTGCACGGCCATTTTGTCCTATTGTGGGACTCCTCAGCAGTGCGCATCCACGATCTCGCATCGCTAGCGAGATTCGAACCCAAGACCTATCAGTCTCGCGCGAGCACTTAAACGATAGATCACTGAGCCGGCATTCAACGGTGTTAATGCCTAACTTCAATCAATCCACGAAGTTGAGAAACCATTCACCAATGTCTTTAGTGAGTTAATATCTCCCAACAGACCTGGTTGAACTACACTGGTTACTGCTTCTCACTAGAACTCCAGGAAATACCTCATGGAGCCAGTCACTAGTGAGCATATGATCATTATCAGAAGGGGGTTTTGTGGAGATTTTAGTAATTTTATATAGTTGAGATCATGAATCAATTGAAACTAGACTATCATGGAAAACCTGGAAGCACTGGACGGCCGTTCCGTTCTAATATGAGATTCCTCAGCAGTGTTTTAGCTTCAATTGATTCATGATCTCAACTATTAAAACTACTATAATATCCACAAAACCCCTTCTGATAATTATTTATTATTATTTTTTTCACTTATCATACAATTAAAATAAATAATATATAATGTTCAAGATTGTTTAAATTTTCCTGAAAATTTAATGTTTATGTTTAGAAAAAGAAAACAATAACAACAAACCATATGATAGACATCAACACCGTTGGATGCCGGCAAGCTCAGTGGTCTAGTATTTAAGCGCTCGTGCGCGAGACTGATAGGTCCTGGGTTCGAACCTCGCGAGGTGGGATTGTTGATGCGCACTGCTGAGGAGTCCCATAATAGGACAAAGCGGCCGTCAAGCAGTGCTTCCAGGTTTTCCATGGTAGCCTAGCTTCAATTAACTTATGATTTCAACTATATAAAATTATTAAAATCTCCACAAAACCCCCTTCTGATAATTTTATTTAATCTTTAAAAAAAAGAGAGTATATTTTATGCTAGAAAAAAAATCAATCATAGGAAAGGTCGAGTGTACGGGATAGACAAAATAATTGATTTTTTTCTCTAACTGATTTTTAGACAACCGGTAATGAAAAATAAATCAAAATTAAAATATACAATGTCTAGTTCATGAGAATTTGTGAAAAAACAAAACATACTATTAATATCAATGAAATTTCTTAATAAAATTAATGAAAAAGCATAGAAGAAAATGTTTGTTAGTAGTATCTCTTGTTACATTGAATAGAAACTTTATGAAGCGGAATTTAATGTATCACAATCGATAGTTGCTATGTCAACATGGTTTTGGGTTTACGTAATATGATAAGTCAACTAGTCATTTCAATCTTTAAAATTTTATTATATTGAAAAGAGTGGTTGATACCTTATAGAAATAAAAGAAGCTGCCATTATTCAAATAATGTTCACAGTTAACGATGCCTTATTGATAACTGAAAAAGAATGTAACTAAAGTAAGGTGCATTATAAAGACAACTAAGAGCCTCAGTTATGCTACGATTTCATTCTTGAAGTAACTAGCTTAAAAAGATCGTGAATAAAAGCTATGTATTATAAATCACCTCATGGCATTGGGTAGTCCAAAATTGATAAAATAATTTAACTATCACTATGTTTAAAACACTCTAGTGTTACTCAGTTCAGACAAATTACACTCAGCCTATTTAGTCAGGTAACGTTCTTTTTCTTTAAAGCAGTTCAAAAGGATGAAAGTCTTCACTATATGGACAGTCACGAACTGCTATTTATGTGTGTACTCCTAACTGTAAAATAATAATATTAGTTATCAACCCTCATTTTTTATTAGTCATTATGATCACCTCCTGTTAATAATCCCAACTCTCACAACTTGTACAATATCTTACCCTTTGAATATTCCTGACAGTTTCAGCCTATGAAATCCTATTCCTTGTCTCCTGAATCTAAAAGTGTTTGAACGTTGTCAAATTGAACTACAAACATGTCTAGCCTGAATCCAGATATCTTTCAATGAGTATAGGGAATGCAAGTATGGTCACTTATTTGACTTTGCCAAGTCAATATGATGAATTCGTATAACTCAGTCTAAATGTCTTCAGGAATACATACTTTCATTAGTGATTCTTAGGGGAAAATTAAAACCATTCAAATCATGGGCCGATCAATTTTAGATCACCATTGAAAACATGGAAGCACTGGAAGGCTGTTTCGTTGTAGTATGGGACTTCTCAGCAATGCGCATTCAGGATTTCAAGGAAATTCAACAATCTCCACAACCCAAAACTAAAAATTAAAGTGTTCGTTCGAGTGACGGCATACAGCGATTATGAAACATGAAGTAAATATGTTTATAAGTTACGATGCAGTGTTAATCTAAGAGTTAGTCAACCGGATTATATCATTGAACATGGCTGAATTTAATCACAGATAGATGAAAAGTATTTTACTGCTTGATCATCATGAACTTTCATGTACATGCATCTAAACTTTATAAAGGTAACGTACTCCATTAAACTTAACTCGACTGTTTCTTGTAAACAATCGATATATATAATTAACATAAAAACGTAGTTCCAGATTTCTGACAGCATCTAGCCATATCATAATCTAATATAGTGAGGGATTGACTAATAGCTTTTATTTTACGTTTTCATTTAAAAAAACAACTTGAAAGACTAAACCATATTTTTTTTGATTACGTAACGATTATTTTAGACTGCCATAGAAGGTCAGTCGTAGTATAAATATTCAACTAAACGAGTCTTGAACCAAAAAGAATCAGAATATACATTGATTTGTTAAAAATTGTAGATAATCCTAGTAAAGAATGAACAGAGATTTCTTTTGCTAACAAGTTCAAAATAGCTTTGACCAAAAATAAATAGTCCAGTTCTCCAGACAATACAATTTCTGATACTTGATCTCTTATGACAACAACCCGAAACATATATCCAGAAAGAAAAGAAAATCAATATTCATTGTAGTAAATGAATCCTGTCGATAATCGGAACATTCATTACAAAAAAAGAAACAAAAAACAAGTTGATATTAAAAAGATATATATATATATATATATATAGTTAAAATTATTCAACTTACTTCATCTAAAATCATAATAGTTGGATTCTTTAAAAGATTACGAGCAATAGCTACACGTTGTTTTTCTCCACCACTTAATTTTAAACCACGTTCACCAACTATTGTTTCATAACCTTTTGGAAAATCTAAAATACATCGATGTATATCAGCGGCAATAGCAACTTGTTCAATATCTGTTCGATCAGCTGATTGACGTCCATAACGTATATTATAATATATTGTATCATTAAATAAAACTGTATCCTGTATTAAAATATAAGAAATAAAATATTTTAAAGAGATTAGAGTCACGGTTGGATTCGAGCTAATAATTTTAGAATTACTATTTGTATTATTTATCATTATTACTATTATATAACCATGAGAATTGGTTGTTATTCAGGTTTTGAACTTTGAAATCAATCACTGATTCATATGTTTAAAGTTATCATACGAACGATAGTTTAAACTAAACTATCATGTCAGATACTACACAACTCAATTACAAGTGAATACTATAAAACAATGTTATACAGAGATAATGGTTGGAGTGAAATGTAGGAGTGGTTTAATGATTACATTGACAGACCTTCGATTACTAGGTTGAAAGTTCATGTTTCACACCACCTACTTCAGCCAAGATGTATCATTAGCCCTTAAACTAACAGCGTAGCTCAAAGTCCAATACATGAATCTAAACTTCGTAATTTAATTACATGACTATTAGTAAGATTAGGGTTAGAAAAGCATAGGTCACAGTCAAATTCAGATGATCAAGATGAAATATCGGCACTGACTGAGAAAGCTCGATTCCCTTTGGTAACGTGCGTCACTTTTGACACAGAATAGATATTCATCCGCCAACCAAAGGACGAGCTTTTTGTGTAGCAGTTCGCTCTGTTCTACTTTACGGTTGTGAAACATGGTCACTAAGAATAAAGGATATTCGTAGGTTGCCAGTATTTAATTAGAGATATTTTAAAAGCATTAATCATGTATTTCAGGATCACCAAGTAAGCAATGCCTGGGTTAGGTTAGGCTACTATGTAAGTATGGTGAATCGATTGACGAGGTAGAGAATCACCATCAATTGAAGTGGTTGAGACATGTGTTACATATCCACAACCACTGCCTACCTCGATGGATGATGTCTGGTGTAGGAGTAGGTTGGAGGAAAGCAAGGAGCAGTGAAACCAAAACGTTTCACAAGTAGAACACACTAAGTTCTTAATAGCAAAGAGTAGATGACAACGAAATATAATACACATAAACTCTATTTTAAAGATAGAAACAAAAATTTCATTTACCAATAACCCAAAAAGTATTAACTAATATAAACTATAATAAAAAAGATCCACCAGTGAAGCAATAATGATATAAACTTACAATTTTAGAAGTAACCTAGTAATTAAGCTATAAATCACATCACAAGAGTAAATTTAATAGTTGATTAATTGTTTGAGTATTATATATACATATTCATTAGTGTGCATGCAATCTTTTCAATGTATTTGTTAATTACATTGATAAGTTATCTAACAGTCATTCCACACTTATCCTCTATCTGGTTAATAAAAGCGTTGCTCATTTAGGCAAAAATTAAAAAAAAACTTATCATTTTTAATTGGTTTTTTACATAATGAGAAGTAAACTTAAATATATGATTTCAATTGTTTGTGATGAACATAATAGTAATACTAATCTATTCAGCACTATTACTGTTGTGAATGAAAACACAAGTGGGGTCAACCAAATGTATTGAATCACAAAATTACAGAATGTTTTTGTAAAATCTGAGAACCATACAGTAAATATTTCAATGGAGTTTTGCTCTCTGAGCTGGATGGTTTTGTCGTAGAGCTTTCATCGTAATTCTGAACGACATCAACCCGAAGTTTGTGCTGATTATGTCATTCAGAAGGACGATGAAAGCTCCACGACCAAACTATCCAGCTCAGAGAACAAAACTCCGTCAAAATTATCCACCTGAGTTACACATCTTCGCCACTGTCTCATAGTATAATCATGTCGGGTTTTCATATCCCTGGGGTTATAAAAAACAAGCCTTTTCCAATCTTTTAATTTGAAAGAGAATTTGTTCTATAGAAGTAGTAGTGCTTGTTTATCATCGAGCGAATTGTGTTTAGCTATTAAGGTTGACAGTTTTTAAGTCAGAGTTAATGGTAAATGAGGGTTTCAAGATTTTTTTTGTGAAAACTGTACATTGACCCGGACTAACTAATTACTATCACTGAAAGATAAATCTTGTTTGGTGGCTAAGAATTTTGAATCAGAAGATGTTATATCATGTGGCCGAGTGGATGCCCAGTTAATGTATGACGTGATAAGACCGCCAATCAGAGTGCAGCGAATTATCAATTGGAACAGTGACACACAAAAACCTTACGAGGAGTCTAGAGTGCTTATCGATCCCACTTCTGCCTAGTCCAGCCAGTTAAGTCCAGAACACCAATAACAGCCTTTGTGGTATGAATCCTTGTATTTCAAACATACTGAGTTTATATACCAAACAGACTGACCACAACGTACCAATAAAATAGAAAATAACATTTGTATAAGATTTAGCCAAATGTGGCTGTGAATGTGGGAGGCAGCAATTAACAGGCTAGGGATAACTCAAGAATGGTCTATCGTATAATAATAGTCTATAGGTCAAAATAAAGCTTATAATAAGAAAAACACAAATATGAAGAGTTTGGTTACTTAGCAATTATACGATAAAAAAATATATACATAAAACTGGTCCATAAATTGATCCCAAAGTTATCATTCACTATTGTTATCGGAACATAACAGAAGATAAAAATGATTTTCTTAAAACTTCTAAGTGATTTTATTTGTAGGTATTCAAATGTTTAGATTACTTATCTACGATTATGTTATCATCAATGTTATTCGTGATTCTTTTAATGTAACAGATATTGTAATCATCCTATGGTGTTGAGGTATTCAGTTCTGCACTTACTGAAATACTTATGATTATTTTGTTATCCTTTCGTAAAAGGAGAAAATTATATCCACGTACTCAGTAGTATTTCTATCTTAAATGCAAACAAACGGTGTCAATTCAAAACTGTAAGTGAACTTTCGTCAATGAAAAGTAAAGAACAACGCTTGTTTCTGTTAAAAGACACATTAAAAATAAAAGATGAAACCTTTAATAAATTTACTACTTATAAAACACAGTTTCTTATAATACCTTGGAGATTAGTTCACACAGCCAGTGCATTCATTTTCTTAAGTGTATCTTCGAAAAGTTTAAAATGTTTATGTTAGAATCAAAGGACTTGGTAATCACGGGAGTCAATAAAATAGGAGTAGGATCTGACTAATGAGAACTATTCAAGTTCATGAGATAGATAGTATAAAAGGTTCAAAATAAATCCTGATTACATAAGTGCTAAAAGGTACATATGCCAATTAAATTTACACTTGCTCAGAATCGGAAGGTATGGGATCTTTTTGTGTCAGTGAAACGAAAACCAACAACACTAGTATATGTTTTGCATGTATCTTTTGAAATGGTTGAGACGTTTCTGTAACTGTGTACATGAGCGTGTACTAATGAACATATGGTAGGTGAAATCATTGATTCCATCGGTCAATTTCTAAGTTCAAATGGTTAAAATCAGTGAATGGAAATAAAGATTGCTTAATTACATTTTATACCTAGCACAAGAAGTTTTTGAGGAGGTTGGAGACGTAAAAGTAAAATTTTCAACATCATCCAACTTAATAATTTAACTCATTTACCAAGTACAAGTTAATGTGTTTAGAAGTGAATTACATAATGTTTGTGTGACGTCAATGAATGCCGTTTGGCTGTTTAAACTGAAGTAGGTGGAGCTGAGTTCGAACCTGAAACTTACTTTCTCGAATTAATTCTGACTAAATATCAATAATCTCGCTCGCGAGAGCGGGCTCGTGGATGCGCACTGCTGAGGAGTCCCATAATAGGACGAAACGGCCGTCCAGTGCTTCCAGGTTTTCGATGGTGGTCTAGCTTCAATTGACTCATGATTTCAACTGTGAAAATATCAATTTGTCATATCTCTATTAACCATTTATCGCAAATATTTTTCAATGGCTTGGATATTGCTAAGCTAAAGGCTTAAGCTCCCCACTAGTATCACAACTCTGTCAATGACAAGGTAAATAATTAAAAGTAGGATAATCCTCGTGGTGAGCAGATTGAAGTAGTTGAGAAGTTCGTGTATCTAGGTAGCTACATAAGTGCTGGTGGTGGCATTAGTGATGAAATCGATGCACGTATAATGAAAGCCAGAGCGGCTTATGCCAATCTGGGCCATCTTTGGCGCCTTCGTGATGTTAGTCTGGCTGTAAAAGGTCGGATCTACAACGTGTCGGTGAGAGCAGTTTTTCTCTATGCTTGTGAAACCTGGCCTCTCCGAGTTGAGGATGTTAGACGTCTCTCTGTGTTCAATCATCGTTGTCTCCGAAGGATTGCTGACATCCAGTAGCAACACCATGTTAGTAATGCAGAGGTTCGGCAGAGACGATAATTCAATTGGTGTCACCATCTTGAAACACCGACTTCGGTGGCTTGGACATGTTCTACGAATGTCGTCCCAGAGAATTTCATGTCGTGCATTATTTGCCGACTCTGGGACTGGTTGGAATAAGCGGAGAGGTGGTCAGTGTATGACATGGTGTCGTGGTATGAAAGAAAGTGGCAAAGGACTGGCTTCTGTTGGTCCTTCACGACTCCCTGGATGGGGTCCGAGAGATGGTGCAACACAGTGGCTAGAGACTTTATCAGATAAAGCTCAGAATAGAAGCCAATGGCGATCCTGCTGTAACTTTCTTTTACTTTCTGCACAAAGAGTGGTTATATCCTCCTTAACTGAGAGAGTTCTTCTGGTTGTACATTTCAGTTTCCTTCACCATTACCCTTTTTTATATGCATCTTACCCCTTTCTCTTTCCGTTTTCATTGTTTTGTGTGGCGCATAAATATCTGATGCCCCCTTGCACCAATATTTATGTATTTAAATAAATAAATAAATACTGTAGTGTGCAGTGATACTGTTATTTTGTAATGAAGATTTAGTTTTAGTTATGAATTGTATTATTTGTAGTAAGAGATATTTGGTAAATGTTTTATTGTACATGATAAACTTGAAGCAATGGATACTCAACTTTGTGCATATTCACATTTAATGATGGGTTGTATGTGTAACCGCCAAAAACCTATGGTTTTCTACAGTTCAAATTTGTTTAATTTAACTCTACACTTAGAACATTTTTCAGACGAGAAAAATACCTATAAAGATAAAACTAATTAGAATAATGAAAAGTCAAAAACAAAAATCGAACAAATGATATACAAAACATATTTACTTGTGGCACAACTCCAAGTGATTGACGTAATGATGCTTGAGTAACTGACTTAATATTTTGTCCATCAATCAAAATCTCTCCTTCGGTGGCATCATAGAATCGAAATAAAAGTCGAACAATTGTTGATTTACCACTTCCTGATTCACCAACCTTTTGAAAATCAACCATAAACAAGAAAAAGTAAAGTTACACATTGTGTATGGAATTGAATTGATGACTGTATTGAGTAACGTTAAATTGTACCCAAAATTTAAGCAAAATAGTTCACACTATGAATTATGAGCATATATCTATAATGTGGAAATTCCAGTAAATCTTTTTTTGAAACATCAAATTAAGTTCATGAGTATTGTCGGAATCATTTTTTTTGAGTCCATAGGGATTATCAATGCTGAATGTAATGACGAAACAATCGACATGAAATGGTTAGAATCAGTCGCAATTTGAATAGAACAGTGGTAATATCTCTATGTTACTGGTTAGAAAAGCAGTTAAAGACTTCAGATGATTCTTGTTTCAAAGTGCTAGCCACTACAAAATTAAGTTAACATGATTGCCGTCAATTCCTTTCTAATCACTCAATGTTACAACCACTTACATTTCAAGGAAGTATCATATTGTGTAAACTAATTAAATATGTGACAGGAGTCATAATGATTTATTTTGTTAGACAAACTCAAACGAGATTGAGACAATTTGTAATGTTGATTTAACGCTAAAACTAACACTACTTATAGGTAGTATTACCTTAATAATCTATTTTTCTTTATTTGGTAACGACATTGGCTGATAGATGGGAGCAAAAACCATTTGTATGTTGAACTTTTAATATATATCAAACATTTTACAAATCTTATCAGCCAATATTATTGTTTGTTTTAATGTCATTTCGGTCATAATATTTTTTTCCATTAGATCAGTCATGAACTTTAAGAGTGACTATGAAACATTTTTTCCAGTTTCAAAGTTGATTTATTCTCAGTATGGGGTTGTGGAGATTATTGAGTTTCATTGAAATCATGATACGATCATTCTTAGACCATAATTGGAAACCTGGAAGCACTGGACGACCTTTAAGTCCTGTTATAAGACTTTGGTTCGAGTAGCACGTGCAAAATCGTGGATGTGCACTGTCGAGTTCCATACTATGGACGAAACGGCCGTCCGGTGATTCCAGATCTTCAATGGTGATTTAACACTGGTCGGTTCATGATTTCGTTAATTTATTCATTAACAGATTTCACTTCATTGGGATACCTTCAAAATATCCTACTAATACTATATTCACAACTGATATTACTTATTAGTTAATAATATCAACCAAAATAAACAATGTACGAACATGGGAAAATATTGTATCCACGATAAATTTCATGAAGCTAATGCTTTATGCACTTGTGAAACATGACCATTCTAGGCTGAGGGCAGTTTATGACTCTGAGTTTTATCAAATATTATTTACGTAGTGATGGTGACATCTTTTAAAAATGCAAGGATCAAAGAAACTATGTCTCAAGAAATAGTGAGGAATTATATTCGACTACCTGAATGATCTCACAATAACAGATTCAGTGATATATACATGATCTACACTAGACTTCACAAGGGTATGCAAAGAGATCATATTCATTGCTGTCAGGAGGTCTGATAAGAATAAATGTAAGAGTGGTTTGCTTGTGATATGGAATTGTGCCTTGAAGGATGGACATATCAAATCAATATACGTTGATTTACATTACGACTTACAAAGGGGGATTTACAAATGTTAAACAACACTTTCTCCACCATTTGGCCAAAAATGCGTCCAAAACACCTATAAAACTATATTTTATGCTACGAAGGTAACACAAAGCATTATTTTCGACTTCTGTTGGAAATCTAGAATAAACAACTGGTGTAAGTTGATTATAGGCAAAAAGTCGTTTGTATAAGTAAGCCGATAAAACTGGTGACGCAAATAAAAGTGTTAATACTCCCTACTTTACGACTGTACTATGTTTATGAGCAATCTAGTTCAAAGAAACAAACTTTAAGCAAAAGGACGATTTTGGAAAACTTAGAAATGTTGACTATCGTACGATACTTTTATAAGTTAAGTTGAAATAAAGTGAGTAACCATAAGAGACACTATTTTATGTACTTACTTTGAATCTTAACTCATTTCAAATTCTAACATTACCGAAGATTTGAGTATAGACAGAGAGTGTACTGTAATCGCTACGGATTTATTACAGTTTAACACACTGTTGCGATTAAGTGAAGTAACTCAACTGGCGATGAGAGCTGATGATTATCTAGGTACTGAGCTATGGTAGGAAATCATGACTCAGTTAATATATTCCCATTCTAAATTAAAACCTTCATGAACTTCAATTTGCAATTTCCGAGATTCAGTTGTAAGTAAGATGATTATAAATGTATGATATTAAAATCTAAGCTAGTGAAGATGATTACTTAACAATAAATTCTGTCACTATTGACAGGAAAAATCAAAGAATGAAATAGTTAGTCAACAGCTGAAGATATTTAGTGTTAGGCCATTGAAGTCTTCTGTATCTTTTCACTTTAATATCTTAAATACTAAATAAATCATTAATCCACTTGTTCGTTTTTCAAAAAATCTCAACTTTGATACTGGAACTTTTTGAGCTAGAGGTATTTTATGAAATAGACCTTTTTAGTTCACCATGAAGATGTGAATCTAGTAGAAATAAAGATGTCGGTTAAGCATAGGAAACAAATTGGTGTTTCCAAACGGAGATGCACAAGCACTTAGGAAGGTTAGTTTAATCGGTAAAGAAATTTAAAAAGTCAAAGCGGATGAAATATTGTCGAAATGGTGATTACAGAATAATGAAACTGTTAAATTTGTTAGTTAAACAGACATTAAATTATCACTTACTAAGGCAACAGTGTGACCCTTCGGTATTTTGAATGAAACATTTTTTAAAATTGGACGCCTAAATAAAATTAGAAAGCAGTTAACCATGAATAACATTGAGGTGTAAGAAGATTCTTAATGAGTGATAGGAGAGATAAACTAAGTTTAATATTACAAATCAAGAAAAAAAGTGAATTTCTATGACCATTGGTATGTCCTAAAATATGGATAGATGTCTAGTTGAGCTTTCCTTTACTTAAACAGTGAAGTGGCTGACAAAGAATAAACAAAAAAGCTCTCAGCATGTCTTGATGGTCATCAGTGGATTGGTAAACATACATTGTGAATAAAACTCTAACTAATTCATAATCTATATAAATCCTTAAGGGAATATGTAATCAGATAAAATACAGAAAATTGTGAAGCATTATACAATTAAGGATTGTAGTTACTATCATACAACTTTAGTGTTATACTCTTCTTGAAACATACTATTTATCCCTAATCTTGTCTATTACAACTGATACTACTACTGCCCTCGGATTTCGTCGGATAATCTCATCGCACTGCGCTAATATGATATAGCAACTCGAACTGCTGCACGTTCTACGTTGCTTAAGACAGTCTGTCATGGTGGTTGAATCAATCTTACTTTCAAGTAACAGAATCAAAGTTTGAACTCCGCTCCATTTAGTTAGATTTGGGCAGCCCAATATTAGCACTAGCCGTCATAAAATTCAATTCTTTCTTAAGTTTTCCGCATATGACTAAAAGCTTGTCCTGTCAATGTCCTGGTTTTGATTGATTATTGATGGACTTTGACTCATCATTGTCTCCATATTTGTTTGAATTGTCTCTTGCTCTGATCAGAGGGAGCAAATATATTTTCATAAGTCGTACATATGTTTTTGATTCTACTATCCAATAAAAGTTTTTTATTCTCGCTTGATTTCCTCACTCAATTAGCTGGCTTGTGTATGTGTATAGGAAGCGAAAATTTCAGTAGCTAACTCGGACGACTGCACAACACTACACTTTTTTCTAACAGTACGTAAGTCGAATCCTACTACATTTCGATAATAAGTGATTAGAGGTAAAAAAAAGTATCATTTCTCTTAGATAGTAGATTGGCCTTAGTGATGAATATTAATTAACATGAAGCCTCGGTGAAGAACATCCTCACAATTGTTATCAACCACCTAACATTCAAAAATGGTTGCTGCGATGTATAGTCAGTTTAATTGGTGACCATATTGCAACCTGATCAATAGAACGCGATCAGCACCAAAAGTGTTCCATGAACATGAAAAGAATTACTAGTCAATAAAATAAGCATTTTTTTACATTCATTACAACGATATTATTAATAATGATAATCATAATCGTGATCATAATTATGGCAAGATGGCTTAATTATAGTAGAAAAATTGACCGGAAAAGACAAACAAAATACAACCTACATACACAAATTAAGAAAATGTTATGCATTAAATGCAGGCAGATAACTGTTGAGAAAGATGTACTTATACACTGTTTATGTAATAACTGTGAACGATTAGGTAGTGGTTTGTAATCCACAAAAAATTGATTAGTTAATTGACCAATACTAGTTAATCGGTAATTGGTTTAGTACTTATCAATTTCAAGATAAGTAAATTTAACAAATACGGTTATGATAATTTATCAATTTTACAAACCATTTGGGTTACGCTGTGGTGTATGGTACTTATGGCATGAGTAGTATATAACACTAATCAGAAGTGGAATACCTCGCAGCAGACGGTTGGGAAGATTGGATCGAAAAGGACGGAAACAGAGAGTAGTCGTTATGGCAATGAAGGATTTATGATGTTTGATACAATTGATGGAGGATTTGCAGATGAAGTATTGAAAACATGGTTTTCACATTTGATAAAAGAACTCTGTAATTCTGTATTAAAATACAATTGGTTGTCCCCACATGGCTTCTCGTTCACAAGAATGGCATAAGATGAACGAATTTCATGTATGAGAGACTTACAATTTACTCTACAAATTACTAATACAATTGACGACAATCTTTCAAGCAATATATATATATATATATTTGTCGATTGGAAAGTGGGGTGTTATACGTAGTCGTGAAACTCCAGCTCGGTTCTTTTATGAGTAAATAACTCTTGAAAATACCGGTTAGGTGTAAGAACTAACAAGTCAAACGTCATGTAAATAATAATATTAATAATCATGAGCATATTGCGTTAAAAAAACCAAATGGCTATCAAGATTAATGCTCTATATATAATGGAAAGTCATAAGTTTGGGTCATTTTATTTTCAATTTGAAGTTTGTTTAGGAAGGTTGAAGTGGATTAATAGTTCGAAGTAAGAAGTACTAAAACGTCATATTGTAAAGTCGTTTGATGTTGAAAACTCAAAAAAGTATGTAAAATATGTATACTATAACAACAGTTATAATCAAACAAGTATTTGATCTTAAATGTTTTCAACGTAAGATATATGACAGAGCCAGCAATTAGTGCTGAGATAAGACGCGTAGTACTAAATAGAACAGCCAAACCAATTTATGAGGTTATGCGCTTTGATCGACTTAAGTGACTTAAACATCATTACACGTGCTTAGTCACTTTCTCTTGAATATATCAAGCTGGTTAGAATAGAATTAGGTTGGAATACCCATACAGATGATCGAACTAAGATATAATATCAATCAGGAAGCTAGACCTTAAAGTTACCATCCGCAAAATAATTATACTCTGTGATTAGAAACTTTAGACGATAACCCTTAAAATTCGATTAAGTGGGATGGATGCATACACTCTCGATTTCATTTTGAACCTTGAGTTTAATATTATTTGGTAGTTTTTGGTAGTGGATATTATTCATTTCTTTCAGTCATACTTCATATTTTCGATTTTTTTTTACTGTCGTTGATAATTATTTTACAATTTTTAATTAAGGTCTTGGTAATCGCTCTTTAACGATGATATAAGAATATAGAGATTCTGGACGATGCCATTTAATCCCGGATTCTTTATTATTTACAACCGATTGATTAAATAAAAGGAAACATCACAAATTGACCTTAGTTAGATAATCATTGAAAACCAGGAACTATTTGACAACCATATCATTCTAGTATGGGGGCACTCATAGGTGCATATCTACGATCTCAAGAGAAATCAATTCTGGGATCTGTGGGTCCCACAGTGAGCACTTAACCTTCAAAACACTGAGCTGGTATCCAATGGTTCATTATGTTTATAACCTCAATAAATTAAAGGTATTGAGTTATTCTATTCCAAAGCGAATGGTGGGCAACTGCCTGATGACCAGTATGTTTGAACTTCACTGGTCATGACTAACCAGTGCTTCCTGGTCCTCACTGATTGTGTAACCAAGATCAGTTTTTAATACCGATAGTGAAACTCATAAATCTTCACAAACTCTTTACATTCATCTATGGATGGATAATTTTGGAAGGAATTTAGGTCAGTTATACTATTAGAAAGAGAAGTAATATTACATAATTTTTTAGTAGGAAATAAACTTACTCTGGGTTGTAGAAGAAGCAGACATTATTGAACTCAACAGCACCTTCTTTGACAATTAATGCTTGAGCATTTGGTGCATCAGTAACATCAGATTCTTGTTCTAATAAATCAAACATATTTTCCATATCAATAAAACTTGTTTGTAGTAGCCTGGTTAAAAAGTAGATAATAATGATAATGATGATAATACTAAGGAACAACGAGATACTGTCTATCGAAATAACAAGGAGAGGAAATTGAAAGTATACAGAAATAACTTGTTCAAGGTTATTTCAACCAAATGGAATTCAACAAAATATATCTACTTTCCTAACATTTTAAGTAGAAAAGTTATTTTTCCTTAAAATGAAGTGGTGAACTTAATAAGTAAATGATCTTGAATCCCCAAAAAGAAACAACATAGTGGATGCTTTCAAGGCTGAACTCGCAGCATTTCCACAGCTATTATAACTTCTTTAAACAGATAAGCAATTTTAGTGAAAAACGGAAACTGTTATAATTAAGAAAAACAATCAGAGTTCTTTATGCTTAAATGAGTAAAGCATTCAAACAATAACGGATATCATGGTTACAGCGCTCTAAGGTCGTACAGTTTCGACTCGCTGGTACTATCATTAAACTTCCAACCATTGTGTTATAGATCAGAACTCTAACCTATATTTCAAAAGTTTGTACACTGACTAGCATATTTAACCATCAAATCGCAGACAAGTTATGGCCCAGTGCATGAAATCATGAACATTTTCTGAATCGTATTGAATTTTCAATTGCTACTGTATCAGAAAAGTATCACAAGGACTGACTATCATCTAATAAGTCAAAAATACCATTGTAACTTGTTATACTGATTGAAGTTAACGATGAAATGAAAAAGGAAACGGAAACAATACATAGTTCTCATTTAAAAACGCAATCAGTTTTCATATAAATCAGGAAATACAATCAACATGGTGACGAAGATGTGTTTAATGTAAACAGATTAGTCCATTTACTGGGTATATATTACTCTATTTAACAGAGATAAGTTGACAAATTATGGAAACAATCGAAAAGACTTTATTTGATGACAATTATCAGAAGTCGGAATATTTCTTGGTTCTATTACAAACCATTTAAAGATAAGATGTGCCTGATTTGTGAAACTTAAAAGTAAATATGTGAAATACAAGTTGAACAGTTTTACATTATTCCATTGTAGTTGAAACAAGAAATTCGATAACCCAAATCTCTTAGCATGTTTTTAATGTAAATGTTCAGACTTACTACACTAAGATGCATGTTTAGCATTAATAATAACAACAACACATCTACGCTAAATCGGACGTATTTATTTTACTTATGGACAGATATTACCTTGCTTAATGTATAATAAAATGGTGATTGATTCAAAGTTGATATCTACTTCAAACATCATGACAACGTTTGACATTTTTGCTTTCGAAATATAATTGTAAATATTTACATGGTTTGTTTATAATAAATACACAGATGAAACTGGTAAAGTTTTTGGTGAAATTTGAGAAATCTCTCATGAAATTCATGAAAACCCAGGACATACCAGTCTCGCGCCAGAGCACTTAACCGATAGACCACTGAGCCGTCCAATACTTCCAGGTTTTCCATTGTGGTCTAGCTTTAATTGACTCATGATTCCAACTATGAAAATACTGAAATCTCCACAAAACCACTTCCAAATTTAATTAAATGGATCGAAAGTTTCATTGAAGGATGTAAGAACTTTAAGACTAGAACCACTGTCAATACCCTGTAGTGACGAAAATATTAGACATGTACAGTTGTACAATCAATATATCTTTCATTTTGTCAATGAATTTATTTATGATATCTATTTCGGTATTTATTTAACAGATTCGGTATGAATTACGAGTTTAAAAAACAACAACAACAACAACAACAACAACAACAACAACCAAAATTCAGATCCAGTAAGTATATTTGAGAGTTCATAAAAACAATCCATCATCCATATTAGTACTGACCTGAACATCAATTTCATGTGAAAGTGTATTTATTTAACAACAAAAAAACATTTAAACCCAATATTGAAAGTTTAGTAATTAAATATTAGATTGTCATATACTATAGAATAGTATGCAATAGAGATAATGGTATTTTTAATATCGAATGAAAAAATCAAAGTTTAAACTATAATTAAGTTTGATTTTTGAAAAGGTAAATCATTATGCATACACATTCACTTGGTATTGTTTGTTTGAATCTTCTCATTGATGTTTAGGACTGCAATTGATCAGTCTCTTATTGGCATATGTGCATACTATATGTATTGCATCGATATAGCCTTGATTTACAAGCATTATAAGCAAAGATAAATAATGGCTAGCAATGGAATCCAGGACACGCGTTTCGTCCTATTTGAGACTCGTCAGCTGGGTGTACCTGCATCTCAGAGTTGATGTTCACTCTGGGACTTAGACTCAGTAAAGTTTTGGTTCATTGTTCCACTTATTTTGTTTTCAATTTGTAGATGATAAACTCAAGTTCTGATTTATTCACTAAGATTTGTGTGTTTCTTGGTAATATCATTAATTGTAACAAAAAGATGTGCAGTTAAAGAATTATTAAAAACCTATTGGACAGTTGTATTATTCAAGTTTAGACCTTTCGCGCAAATTGAATAGAGAAAATCGTTTGGTTTCACAGTGGACATCATAATTTCAGAGCATTGAATCAAGACCACAATATTCATATTTCCAACTTAAGTTAATTCATGTGATAGCACAACTATAATCTAATGGAGTCGGACTAAATACATTACTAACTCCGGTCACTTTGAAGCAAAGTTAGACAAACTATCTATCTAAGCAATACATCTTTATCTTTTTTTGAAGAAGTTTCATTCTTTTGTAGTGCCGCGATTCGTTAATCGTTTACTTCGATAACCGTTATGATTCTAATCTTAACGGTGCGTAAAATCAGAAGACAAAGGATAGCAGCAACTACAGTTTATTGTCGAATAACTCAGGTTAGAAAGTTAACAACACCTGAGCGAATAATAACGAGCGAGTGAACAGGCGAATAAGCGAAGGAAGCGAACGAGGCGGAAATGACACGCAGTAGAGATGGCTGGGAAGCCAACTCGATTTAAGCAAGCGTTAATCAACATTTATAGTCGGATAAAAATGAGTGACAGACATACGATGAATAAGATACGAAGTGTACACATATATGCTCATATAAAAGTATAGTCAAGGTTAATAAGCAAATGATTAACAAGATCAAAATATGACTCATAATGGATAGGCGAATTGGCTTGGCCAGCAACTAGAATAAAGTATTTGGGCTTAACATATAAATTATCAGAAGGGGTATTGTGGAGATTTAATATTTTTCATAGTAGAAAGCATGAGTCAATTGAAGCTAGACCACCATGGAAAACCTGGAAACACTGGACGGCCGTCTCGTCCTATTATGGGACTCCTCAGCAGTGCGCATTCACGAACCCGCTCTCGCGAGCGAGACTCGAACCCAGGACCTACCAGTCTCAAGCCGAAGCCCTTAACCGATAGACCACTGAGCTGGCATCCAACGGTGTTAATGTCTAACTTCAACTTAACATATAAACTGATACTACACTCTGACTTATAATCTCACTAAACAAATCAACGAGACAATAGACAAATTCAACTAATAAGTTTAAAACAATAAAATATTGGACTGATTTTCATTAAAATTTCTTACCTGTAATATGTTCCAAATATACTTAATGGTGAATAAAGTTGAATAATATATGTACAAAATAAAACAAAATGTCCAACTGTTAGTATTCCATTAACAACATCTCGAGCACATAATAATATACCAAACATAAATCCAATACTAATTACTATATTTTGTATTGTATTAAGTAGATTTAATGTAAATGCATTCCACCAATCAGCTTTTTGATAATCTAAAAATGCTTGATTATAACGATCTGTTTCAAATTGTTCAGCATTATAATATTTAACCTATAAAATAGGATTAACAGAAATTAGAAAAAAAAAAAACAACAACATCCGATTGAATATTATTAAATTTAATCTATTACGTGTTTGTAGGTTCTAGGATCTGACTTCAATTAGATCGTATGAATGATTGTTGTCAAAATATACATTTTGTCTATCCTTGAAAGTAATAAATGACTTAATCCGCGTTGATGAATAAGAGAGTCAAATAATTCAAATACGAAAATGAATTTTGAATACATATATTTTGAACATTCATTGATCTGGACAGGAAATCAGAAGAATGAAGTAAATAGAAGAGAGCGAAGCGAAAATAACACGCATTGGAAATGGTGGGTAAGCCAACTCGCTTTTATCAATATTTATAGTCACATAAAAATAAATTACAAACATGTGATGAATAGGATAAAAAGTGTACACACATACGCTAATATAAAAATACAGTTAGGGTTGATAAGTGAATGATTCAAAAGGTCGAAACGTGACTCATGATGAATAGGTAAATTGGCTTGTCCAGAAGCTAAAATAAGGTATATGGCCTTAACATAACCACCGACACTACATGTTGGTAGTAGTATGATGCGTGCTACTTATGTTGACAGATATAAGTAGTATGTAGCACCAATCAAAAGTGGAATGCATGTCAGCAGGAGATTGAGAAGATTTAATTCAAGAGAACAGAAAGGAGAGCAGAAATTAATTGTAGTAACAAAAGAGTTCAAAGAATCATAAAGTATTTAAAGGACAATTGATGGAAGATGTGTAAATTATGTATTTAATATATGTTATTCCTATTTTTTGGAAAGCACTGTAAGTTTGGATTTAATAATAAAATCGGTCTACGCTCACATAAGCAGTTTTAAAATGGGTCAAATTCATTACAAATTCAATGAATGAATAATTTTAAAACAACTATTGTCAATTATGATTAAATGTTTAATGTAAAGAGAGAGAGAGAGAGAGAGAGGATAATAGTTGACATTGAATTAAGGTTACCTATTATAAAAGTCAATCAATAAAATCTTTTAGATTCATAATACCATGGTGTTTTGTTCACATAGTGTTTTTTTAAATTTTTTTTTGAAAATCACCATAATTAAACAAAATCACAATGTGATGTAGTTGAAAACCGAATCAGTGAATGAAATCAATCAGATAAGACTCGTTTTTTAATGCTTATCTATGAACATATTGTAATATGTTTACTAGTAAACTGGTTAGTTTACCAATAAATAAGTTTTAAGAAATCGAAGAAAGTCAAAATAAAGTTTTGTTAAGCAGAGATGGATAGTGGCTAGCAGTGGAATCCAGGACGCGCGTTTCGTCCTATTTGGGACTCGTCAGCTGGATGTACCTGCATCTCAGAGTTGATGTTCACTCTGGGACTCGAACCCAGTACCCTCGCTTCAAACGCCATCGCGTTATCCACTCGGCCACTGAGTCCTGATAGCCACAGTATGCACATATGCCAATTAGAGACTGACCAGTTGCAGTCCTAAACACATCGATGGGAAGATCCAAACAAACAATACTAAGTGAATTTAAAGTTTTGTTAGTTATAATTAAAATAAATATTGTCAAATAGGACATGAGACCAATTTATGCCTTACTAAGTTAGCATGTATAGGTTTAGATGTAATTTAAATGATAAATATGTAAAGAGCATAAATGAAATTAGGCAAATAATAGATATCGTTTTTAAGGGCAGTATAGATAGTGGTGATTAAAATATACCCATGTAAGATATGTAAAGTTGACTGAGACTATCCTGAAAAGCTTTCAATATTCCCTTTCGATCATTTTTCCATACACCTAGTCAGTATGTGTAGCATATCATTGTAATTTTTATTAAAGATTCCATTTCAAACATTTCTTACTTACTTACTTACGCCTGTTACCCCTCGTCGAGGAGCATAGGCCGCTCACCAGCATTCTCCATCCAACTCTGTCCTGAGCCTTCCTTTCCAGTTACTATTTAGCCTTTTCATATCGGCTTCTATTTCCCGGCGTAGTATGTTCTTTGGCGTTCCTCTCTTCCGCTTCCCTTCAGGATTCCAAGTTAGGGATTGAGTCGTGATGCACATTGGTGATTTCCTTAATGTATGTCCGATCCACTTCCAACGTCTTTTCCTAATTTCCTCTTCAGCTGGAAGCTGGTTTGTCCTCTCCCATAAAACGCTGTTGCTGATAGTATCCAGCCAGTGGATGTTGAGTATTTTGCGTAGACAACTGTTTATAAATACTTGTACCTTCCTGATGATGGTCGTAGTAGTTCTCCACGTTTCAGCTCCATACAGTAGGACTGTCTTAACGTTCGTATTAAAGATTCTGACCTTGAAATTGGTTGAGAGTTGTTTTGAGTTCCATATATTCTTCAATTGTAGAAATGCCGCCATTGATTTGTCAATCCTCGCCTTTACATCTGCATCCGATCCTCCTTGTTTATCAACGATGCTCCCCAGGTACTTGAATGTTTCCACCTCTTCCAGAGTTTCGCCATCAAATGTGATTGGGTTGGTGTTCTCCGTTTCGTATTTGAGAATCTTGCCTTTTCCTTTGTGAATGTGGAGACCTATCGATGCAGAGGCTGCTGCTGCATTTGCTGTCTTCATCTGCATTTGTTCGTGTGTATGAGAGAGGAGGACTAGGTCATCTGCGAAGTCCAAATCATCTAATTGATTCTGAGAGGTCCATTGTATTCCGTATTTCCCTTCAGATGTCGAATTCTTCATAATCCAGTCAATCACTAGAAGGAAGAGGAATGGGGAGAGTAGACAGCCTTGTCTGACTCCGGTCCTTACTGGAAATGGGTCTGTCAGCTGTCCTCCATGCACCACTTTGCACTGTAGTCCATCGTATGAGTTTTGGATAATGTTGACAATCTTTTCACGAACTCCATAGTGTCGAAGAAGTTTCCATAATGTTCTCCTGTCCACGCTGTCAAACGACTTCTCATAGTCAATGAAGTTGATGTATAGTGATGAGTTCCACTCAACTGATTGTTCAACGATGATCCGTAGTGTCGCAATCTGGTCTGTGCACGACCGATCCTTACGGAATCCAGCCTGTTGATCCCTAAGTTCGGCGTCTACTGCGTCTTTCATCCGATTCAGCAGCACTCTGTTGAAAACTTTTCCTGGTACTGATAACAAACTGATGCCTCTGTAGTTCTCACATTTGCTCAGATCTCCTTTCTTTGGTATCTTGATGAGATATCCTTCTTTCCAGTCCATTGGCACTTGTTCCTCTTCCCAAATCTTCTTGAATAGAAGGTGAAGCATATTTGCAATTATTTCAATGTCTGACTTCAGTTCTTCAGCTGGTATATTGTCAGGTCCTGCCGCCTTCCCACTTTTGATTTGTCTGATGGCCATATTAACTTCTTCGATCGTTGGTGGAGTGACATCTATAGGAAGGTCAGTGTGGGCTGATTCGATGTTCAGTGGATTCAATGGGGCTGGTCTATTCAGAAGTTCCTCGAAGTATTCTGCCCATCTTTTCCTTTGTTCTTGAATCTCCGTGATTGTCTTTCTTTCTTTGTCCTTGACTGGTCTCTCCGGTTTGCTATATCTCCCTGCCAATTTCTTCGTTGTATCATATAGTTGTGAGATCCATGTAGCTTTGTGTATGCGTTTGTGTGGGAATATTGTGCCACCTATAACCAATTTGTTGAATGCACATAGGTTTGCAAGTCTCTCCCCATTTTCATTTCTCTCTCCTAATCCATGTCGTCCAATTACATCTTCATATCCTGTGTTGTCCACCCCAACTTTAGCATTTAGATCTCCCATCAGGATGGTGAGGTCCTTTCGTGAGCACTTTGCTATAATTGATTGCAGCCTTTCATAGAACTGATCTTTATCATCGTCGTTGCTATCATCAGTGGGTGCATAACATTGGATAATGTTCATTGTGATCCCTTGCTTCTTTGTTCTGAATGATGCTTTGATTATCCTGGGTCCATGAGATTCCCATCCCACAAGTGCATTTCGTGGTTCTTTGGACAGCATTAGAGCAACTCCCTGAGTGTGCGGAGTATTTTTCCCTTCGTGACCGGAGTACAACAGAATCTCTCCTGTACCTTGCCTTTGTTGTCCAGTTTGTGTCCAATGGGTTTCGCTGATTCCGAGTACTACCAAGTTGTATCTCCTCATTTCCATTGCTTTTTGGATGGTCTTTCCTGTCTCCTACATTGTCCGGACGTTCCATGTACCTATAAAGAGTGTTGCTCTGGTTGTTAGAAGGTGCATCGGTCTCGCGACTTCCGAACCTTAACTCTTATTATATTTGTATTTTTTATCCCATATGTCTGATTGCACTACACTGGGATGTTTATGATAGACAGTTGTGGAAAATTCCAACAGCTTTAAATGAAATGTTTAGTGAATATCACACTATAAAGTGAAATATTCATCTCTTTAATGAATGGTAAAATGATTGAAAATGCTGAGTATGATATACTTGGTGAAAAACCAAAACACGAACTGTAAATCATGATAATGAGCAAAAGCTGATTGTTCATACTGATAAAGTCGTAGTATGAACTGTGAAACACTCCAACAAAATTCATACTATAAACAAGCTCCAAGATTAACTTAAAGCCTTTTGGCTGGTGACTCAGACAAGTTCAAAGTTTGGAATTTTCCAAAATATTTATTAAAATTATAGTTTAAATACTTATATCATTTAAAAACTCGAACTAGTTGTATTGTTTGTTTGAATCTTCCCATTGACGTTTAGGACTGCGGTTGGTCAGTCTCTTATTGACATATGTGCATCTTGTACGGATTGCCTTGATATTGCCTTAAGTCACAAGCATTATAAACTAAAATGGATGGTGGCTAACAGTGGAATCCAGGATGTGCGTTTCGCCCCGTATGGAACTCGTCAGCTGGATGTATCTGCATCACGGAGTTGATGTTCATTCCGCGACTTGCGCTATCCACTTAGCTACTGAGTCATGATAGTCACTAGCTTGTGCAATGGAGTGAAGTTTAAATTTATTTTATATTGGTTGTTTGAATCTTCCCATTGATGTTTAGGACTGCAATTGATAAATCTCTTACGAAACGCGCGTCCTGGATTCCACTGCTAGCCACCATCCATCTTTGCTTATGATGTTTGGATTAGTTATGTATAAACCCAAGATTTTTGTTAAGTACCTTGACGATATCAGCATACTTTGCTTAACTGTACATTAGCTAGTATTATGCTTTCCGTGACAACTGAAATAAGTAAATTTTGTTTGGATAATATTAAATAACTTATTTAAACTGATCAGGTGTGGGACAAAGAACATTATATTACAAAATAATACGTAATTCCGTTTAAATACATTATATTGTGAATAAAGTTTACCATAACTTACAGTTTCAAAGTTCAACACTGAATCAACAGCTTTAGTGTTTTTTTGATTGTCTAAATTATTCAATTCACGTCGAAATTTTGCTCTCCATTCAGTAATTAGCACTGTGGAAACTATATTATGATTATGAGCCAAAAATAAAAACTAATATCAGTTAAATAAATTACAAACATCCAAGTTTAATATAACATCATGCAACTAATGTGTGATTACGGGAATTTTAATTGGAATGAAGTAAAATTTGGGAATGTTTAGTCAGTTATATGCAGCATAAAAAATAGTACATTTGTATCAGCCTTAGATGAATATCAAAGTGGTATTGTATCAGTTGTAAAGAGAAGGACTATGGAGTGAGAAGAATAAAATACTTTTATTTTTGCTTCAAAAAAGATTGATATTATATAGATCTTAGAGCCACCTGAAGTTACTCTGAAAATAGTTTATGCTCTCTCTAATACATATGCGTGTGTTAAAGTCATTAGAACCTTATATTACCTTAAAAATTACAAAATTCTTTTCATTTATGACAGTGACGCTTGTTCCATCTTTATTTCCATTTTTCTGACATTCCCTAGAAGACGTCTGAAGTCAACATTAGTCGGTTTCACATAGTTTCTTAACCCCAAATATTCTGCACCGACGATTTTCTTGATCATATTTAAGGGTTCACTATCAAAAGTGAGTGTATGAGTCAGGTCTTTTAAAATCTCCGCAAAGGTAATCTATAACGTAATGATAGAATTTTCTCTACCACCAATTATACACTGGGAATAAGTTAACACTACTATTGCAGCTCGATAAGTTATTTGGAAATGAATCGTTTGAATTTTATTGAAGTGCAAGTTTTCTTTGAGATTTAATCATAATTGTTAAATGAATATACAAGTACAGAAATCTCTATCTATCTATCTATATTCTGTGTTGATTTGTGTTATATTGATTGAGTGCCCTATTATTATATGAAGTGATAAGACCGCCCAATTAGAGAGTAGCGAATTTATTGATCGCCCAATGATACACAAAATACCGTATGAACAGTCTTGAGTACTTATCGACCCTGCTATCTACCTAGCCCAGCCAGTTAAGTCCAGAACACCAATAACAGCCTCGACAATATATGAATCATTATTCTCAAACAAACTCGGATAAATGAAAATAAATAACTTACCAAGGTAAATAAGCATAGTTACAAAAACTAACAATCCATACCAAATATTGAAAGCTGTGACAAAATATACTACGCCAATGATTATATCCAATACAGTTGGTAAGATATTAAATACAAGATATGATAGAATATTTGAAATGCTAGCTGTTCCACGATCCATTACTCTTAACACTTCACCAGTTTTTCTGGATAAATGCCATTTTAAGGAAAGTCTAAACAAAGTGAGAAAAAAAGTTATATAACGTTCAATTGATTCATGCTTTCAACTATGAAAATACTGAAATCTCCACAAAAGCCCCTTCTGATTATATAACATTTTTGTTTAACTGAAAGATTATTAGCCAATAAATAGTGTATATAAAAATAATTCTGGATAGTTTTTTTATTGAAGACTAGATTACCCACTCTGGCCCAGGACAGAGTGGGTTGGAGAATACTGGTCGGCGGCCTATGCTCCATTGGGAGTAACAGGCGTAAGTAAGTACGATTACCATTTAAATATAGCACAAGATAGGTATTAAAATTCTTTCCCTTTTATAGAGTTCAGTATACATTCAGAACAACTATTATAGTAAAATGAAATCAATTCACTTATTTCAGAAATTTTTATTTTTAACTGCTCACAATTTAGAATTATTAGTATTTGATTATAGACACATTTTGTTTATAGTTCCAGATAACATGGAGTTGGATCAGTAAACAATTAATAAATATGGCAAAGTTGTAAGAATTCTTTGTACAGTTGATTAATTGTAGGCTAGAACAGTAAACTAAGAAATGAAAGTAAAATAATGTCTCTGTACGATTGTTTCTATCACTTTATATTGTATGGATCAAAGGATATTTATACTGGAGTTATGAACGGATCAACGTTAGACCACCACTGAAAACCTGGAAAAACTAGATGGCCATTTTGTCCTAACACAGGACTCTTCAGTAGTGCGCATCAACGATCCGGACGCGGGAATCGAACCCAGAATTTTCGATGTCGAGAGTGAACGCTTAACCATGCTAACAATAATCGAGAATATTCTACAGAAATCGCAATAACAAAGCTAAAATATTTTTAACAGTACAATCATCTGTCATTCATTTGCTAGTGAACGTAATGTGATCAGTAATCGAAAGATTGTTTATTTGTTGCACTTTGCTAAAGCTATCGTCATTGAAGTTTTCAACCAGTTTTATTCATGAACAAAATGATACTACGGTCATTTTTTTCAAATACCCTAGTTATAACTTCTGTTATTTGTCTGCTTCTTATCTGCGATATGCATATTTTTATTCAATTAATCGGTCGTTTTCGTAGTTGGTATTGGTTATGAAATTATTATTCTATTTTTAGAAGTTTATATCGATGAACGTCTAAGTTATCTTTTCCAAATATGATATATAGATTTTATAATTGATAGTCGACTATAAAAAGCTGAATAGAAATCCACGAAATAAATATATTCGTTAAATTAGTTCAGATTTGCTGTTCATATTTTATGAAAATATTACAACTGATGAGAACATTCATTTAGCAGTTCTAAAGATGTGTATGTTTGGGATGAATAAGCAATTTCGATTGAAGTGAGTGGTAAAGATTTTAATGATTGTGATAATTAGGCCGAATTTAGGCTTTCTTTGATGACACATAGAAAATTTTACCATTAACATAAGTGGTTTTTCTGAAAACCATACATTCTATAAATAAAACCAAACAACTGAAAAACTCAAAAACAAGAGTGGTATCAAGAAATTGAAGATAAAGAAGTTACAGTCAATAGGAATTCAATAATAAATCTGATTTAAAGGTAATTCGGTAAGTTCGTCAACGAATAACAGAACACCATCCGTCGTGGTTGACCAAAGGACAGGTAAAGGGGATTAAGAGTTCTATTCTCGCTCACTTGGTGGACACAGGTCATCAGGTTGAACTGAATAAAGCTTTTAAAGTTATCTACCATATTCCATGCCACATGGTTTACGAGCTCGTCTATTGCACATAGCTGAAGCCATCGCAATTCATATTCACAAACCGAACCTTTGTATCCAAAAGAAGTCTGTACAACCACTCTCGCTACCTTGGCCATCGGTATAGCGGAGTTTGTAGCATAATTTCGGTGAATAATTATCTTATTCCTTCCATTTTTGTATTTTGTATTTTACTTATTCTCTTCATTCGTCTCTTGATTCTTACATAACTACTATATTACTGACCATTCATCAAAATATTTTGTTAGTTCTTTCTTCTCTTTTTTATATATTATGCAACGTAGCAACAGCTTGATTTTAGAACAATAACTTTGATTAGTATTAATCCTTCTCTTCCAATCAATTAATGTTAGTTTATAAACGATATGTCATTATATAATTATTATGTAACGTATCTACTGCATGAGTGTTATTTAATTATTGTAAATCATATATATATCAGTGTAGAGCCATGATGAAAAACTAATTGAAAATAAATTTCTTTGCTCGATTCGTTCCTTTTATTTATCAAATGTCAAAATGGGAATTTTCACTTTATTAAAGGTAATTAACTCATTTAATATGTATAAACTGATGTACTCAACTTAAAGCTACACTGTTTGGTGTAAGGAAGAGAGATGAAGTCCAGTTGATCAAATCAGAGTGAGCCAGGGTTCGAAATTGGAACCCGTTGGTTGGAGGTTGAGTGATTTAACCAATAAAGCAATAAAATATAAGTTATTTGATTTCTTCTGATGAATCACCATTTATGATGATGAAGTAAGGTAGGATTACTTAATAGATTGTTTAAAAAGACACAAATAAGTACAACACCTTCGTAATATCGAATTAATTGACCAGTGTGAATGAGTGCAATGGAAAAACCTAACCAGAGGTAAAATATCATTTTATTGATAAGTCTATTTATGATATGGGGATTTTCACAGAACTGATCAAATTCAGGAAAAAGCTAATAATAGACCTGGGACCACCGGGTAAGTAATGCAGATGTTAGGAAACGGGTACTAGGTAAGGATGGCAAATCGATTGATGAAGTAGTGAAACTTCATCAGTTGAGATGGCTGGGACACGTGTTCCGTATGTCCAACCACCGACTGCCCCGACGTACAATGTTTTATGGTTTAGGAATAGGTTGGAAGAAAGCTAGGGGCGGCCAGACCAAAACATGGCATAAATCCATGAAGTCGCTGACAAGTGGACTGGGCCGTGTTGGTAGGTGTGAACTACCTGGTTGGGATTCGCAAGATGATAGCAACCGATGGTTAGAGACCTTGAATGACATGGCTCAAAATCGTTTGCAATGGCGAAGGTGCATCCACTCTTCGTGTTCTCCCAAATTCTAACCTTCTGAATTCCTCATGTCTCTATCTTTTTCTCTTTCCAAATTTATTTCACTGTATTATACTCCTTCAATAACATCTTCAAACCCTTATCTTCCACATAATACTTATACTCTTACTACTTCTACCAATATGGGATTTGAATTGACAACTGCATCTCTGTGCTAATGTGGTATGGCAACTCGAACTGATGTACGTACGTACGAAGTTCTACGTTGTAACTGACTGACTGAGACCTAAGATTTGAAATCTTAACAGTTGAATTATTGTGTTCTTCTTAGAAGAATCATTTTTTACCCATTCATCTTTGGCGTATGTAAAAAGCGATTTCTTTAAAGAATCCAAGAAATATCAAGACTTTAAAAAAATATAAATTTAGTAGACCAACCTATAGATACAGGAAAACATACTTTATGTTACAGGTTACACAATTTTTCATGCCTTTTTTTGAAAACAATGTGTGTTGAATTAGTGAATATGGTAGACAGTGAGAAAGATGAGCAATTAAATTGATTCACAGCATTTTACTACAGAGCAACTATATATTATTACAATTAGTCTTGATTGAGTTAAATATCGTTTTGCATCCACACCTTGTTTTTGCATTTCAATATTCACCTTGGCTGTCAACGATGTAATTTTAAAGAACATAAGACGTAAAATCTTTCCAGAAATAGGCAATAGGATTTTTGCACACTTACAGCTGATGTGTCGAATAGTTAAGTGAATGAGTAACACAAATACTCACTTTTCAGTGACTGGGTCATGGGTCACCCATGGAAAATTTATACCTGTTTAATGTACTGTGACCATAAGAAAAGACCTAAAGGTGTGTAGATTTTATAAGTAGAGTTAAATGTAGTAAATGAGTCAATATATTTGCCGGATTCGATTACAGAAACTGGGCAAGTATCATTTTTTGTCTATAGAACATGAGTGGTAATTCAGGCTACAGGCAATATTTTCCACTAACAAAATATATAACTTACCCATTCCCTCATGTGAGGAGCCTGTCAAACATCTCAGCATATATGATTTACATCCAAAGGTATTTAAACAGATAAGCGCATCAGTTTATCGTGATGAGTTTGAGTCCTTGAAGTAGATGTTAATCCCGATTGGTAGGTATAAACCAACCAACTGTTGGTTAGGCTAAACATTCGCCACTTAAAACTCGTTTTGGTCATTCTTTGTTTAACTACCAGTTGCAAAAGTGCACCCTTTGATAATACGACTAACTACTACACTGACCCATTTTTGTCGAGTTTCTACTACTTTTCGATATGAAAGTGATTATTATTCCCTTTTCCCAAGCGGCTGCACTATTTACATTTTCGGATTAATTTATGTTTTAGAAACATCAAAAGTTGGCTATATTGGTACAGTTTACTTGTTTTGACCATAGTCTTACCAAGATTCAGTGCACGATAGTGTAGAGATTTATTTAAGAAACTCATCCGTATGCCCATTAAATCCTAGAACAACTAATAGGAAGCAACGAGATTAAATTCCATCATATTCCAAAAATTTTACATGATCCTAAATTCGAATAGATAAGTAATGTGAATAATAGAATTGTAAGAGAACATGATGAAAAGAGTGTATATAAGATAATTTAAACATATTTTCTGAAGACACAAAAATGATCTACTGAAAAAGAGTTGTTAAACACAACTTTTAGAAGTCCAAAAATATTGCAATACTGCAAATGCTATTGATTAAAGTATTCTTCGGCCAAACCTATTTTGTGTTGACTGTTAGCAAAGGAAATAGCTCATGTTAACTGATAAGCCTAAATATGATTTGATCACAAAGAAAGTTGTTAAGAAATATGGGCCAAAATATTTGAATTAACAGTAGTGAACATAGACTAACTTAAATCACGCTAGGGTGCGCTATGTCAAGAAGGGTCAGGATTCTAGGGAAGACCTATTTTAATGACTTCTTAAGAATTGGAAAGAAAACTCATAGCACTTAGTTGCAGATTTTAGTTATACAAGTTAGTTAGATTGTTAAACACACTCGAGTGCATAGTTATATGAGTATGTTGTAGAAAGGTATGAAGTTTTTTTATAAACATAGTTAAATTATTCTGGCTTTAAGAAACTAATCGATCATAGACAAGTACTAATAGCTGAAAGGAGTAGCCATCAATTATAAAATGGCATGAAAACAAAGATTTGTAAATATACATATATTTGGATTAAATTACCTTTGGATATGTTTGAAGAGCATTACACTTAATTCTCTTGTTGAAAACTGATCAACTGCTATCCATAATTGAGAACGCAAAGCAGATATAAGACCAGCACCCAAACCACCCAGGCCTTGAAGTAATCGTAATAAAGCAAATAAAAGAACATAATCCCAACGATAAACCAATCCACTATAACTGGATACAGCACTGAATATCGTATACGGAGACGGTTTCATGATGAGACTATGCTTAAAAGATAATGTTCCAGTGGAATTATCAACTTCGGACAAACTGTTTACTATAATGTAAAGACAAATAAATAAATGGATTTTGTAAAAGGTAAAATGAAAAATGAGTTTGGAGATGAGAAAATAGATTGTGATGAATTTAACCCTGAAAAGAAAAGAGAAAGCAAAAACCAAGCAGATCAATGTTCGTTCATTTCAGGGTTACGTAAAAGTTTGATTCTCATGATATCACTGTGCTTAATCTTACAGTTTAAAAGTTTAATTTCAACACATATGATTAGCATCTACAGTTCATATATATATATACCATAAGCCCCAGAAAATACTGATTATTAAAAGGCTTGTTTTAGCAACTCACTTATATCTTTGTACAAAATTGGTGAATATAAATTGACGACTCGCCCAGCAATTAATAATACAAAACAAGAAAATACTCTAAGCTGTATGGTCTTCTGACTTCTTGGCCAGATAAACGGTGATACGATTTTGAATCTACGGATGCGTTGAACCCAAACATTTCCAGTACTCAACGAGTTTTGACCATTTGAATGAAGAAACTCATAGACTGCAAAGTAGCTTGGAAGGCCTGGAGCCCATATACCTAATATGAAGACGAATGATACGCAAAAAGCGTACAACATCCAGAAGGTGAACTCGACCACATTAGCGTAACTAAAGACAGAAAAAGGTTTGAACATAAACATACTGAAGTTTGAAGTAGTAAAAGCATCCAAAAATAGAGGTTTACAAATCACTAGCCACTAAACAGACAAAAAAATCTGCCCACGAAACACCGTTAGATGATATTTAAATACAAGTTTTTAAGATGTTCAAATCACTCAATTATTCTCCTTCACATTGATACTAATCATTTACGAACGACCAAAGTTAAAAATAGTTCAGCTTTGATGAACATTTAGTCGCAATCCAATACTGAGATAGTATGTCTTATTACATTACCATATAGGACTTTATTGCAATAAAAAAGCAAGACATTGTCTGTACATACACCGCGTGGAACGATCTGTAGAATAAAGTTTGAGATTTGTTTTGTAAACCATTGATATACTCTATTTTGAAAGCTCATCACTTCCCAAACTTAATTATTACAAACGTTGATAATTTCAAATGTATTTCAAAAATAGTGGCACATAAAGATTTTCATATACCAGTGTAAATAGTTAAGGAGAAATGATTTCTCGAAAATAGGTTTGATATGGCAAAAAGACTGAAAAATAACACCTGTTAATTAACATGTCCTTGAACGTTAAGTTAGCTGTCTTTGGTTTTACTGAACCTCCGCCTACATGGTTGCCATGGTGGAATCTTAGGGAATAAGTGTTTTAGGTGATGCAACTCTGAAGAGATCGGTGAAAATTGACATAGTTGCCACAGTTTATCCATAAACAATTCTGATACTTTTTAAAGAAAGGTTACCAAAATATGATCAAACCACTAAATCAACCGTGTTAACTCGGCCTGTTGCTTTTATTAGAGATAATATAATAATAATGTATAATAATATGCTTCTAAAAGTATCACGATAAGTCAACAGAACTGAAAACTAAACTAGAGAATTTCATTTATTTAAAATTTGGGCGATACTGTAAATTATGGACAAACCAATCAAATTTAAGATAACAGATCTCTGATTTCGACTCGAAATTCATTCACGCATTTGTCAAAATAGTGTTTTGGCATCTTGGTTGATGTAAGTTCAAGATGAAAACCATGAATCTAATTCCTAACCCTAACCATCAGTTGCAAATCATAATTTTTATCCTTCAAACTTCTTTATAACCCTTACTTAGCACCGGTAAGTTAGTGGGAGCTCTCAAGGTCACCAAGGCGTCGCTCAAAGGTCGTCCATAAGTTAGTCTCGTCGAAATTTGAGTTAAGCAGCTGGAGTGACTGTTTAGTTATCCTTGTTAATAGCAACTTTAAAATGCTATGAATGAACCACAAAAGAGCGAGAACATTGGTGCAATAGTTATAATATTTTGACTGGATGGAAGTAGTAACTACGGTGAATACACGGAAAATGGAGATTGCTCTAGGATGCATTAAACAACGCATGACATAGTTTATCAGCTTATACACTATTATTCCACCCAAAACGTATGGCAAACAGTACCACAGACTAGTGAAATGCCAAAAAGCAAGCACAAGTGATAAAACTAACCTTGACAGGTTCCACCACCAGTCGCTGCTGAAAATAGATACCAAAGGTAGGAAGGCTAGAAGGAATGAGAGTGTCCAGAAGCACAACAGAAGAAGACCATGACTCCTCCCTTCAAAGTTTAAAAGGACGTAGGAGCACTCAGTGCGTAAAATAAATGCAGAGAGTGGCCAAACGATAAACATAACTATAATAGAATATGTCATATATCCATATACATGCTCCAGGTCATTCATGAACGCAAAAACCATAGTTTGAGAGAGTGAGAGAAATGGGATGATTAATGTCAATAATATGTGAAGGTATAAAAACTTAGACCTGGATCTCAAACTATTATTAATAGGTTGACCATGTTTTCGGTAGATGTACACCTGAGCGAGTCCAGGAACCAGAAATAAAATGCAAAGAATGCTGGAAGATAAAGTGTAGACAAAACATCTGCTAAGACCGTTATTATACCATGGATGACTTAAGGACTCGTTTGGATGACAAAAGGAGATCATAACCTTGAAGACTGATACCTAATTTGAAAAGAAGGATAGACTTGATTTCATCTCTGGTACAGATAAACAATGTGGACGTCAAAGTATGGTTTAGATACATTAGCTTAGGAATTTTGATTCAATTTTTGATGTCATCAAAATTGATCAGATTTTCTATAAATGAGGTAAGTCTGTCTATTTGAAGCTAAGGTTGAATCATTGCATTTTTTATTAGCCTATGTGAATGTATTCTAACTTTTTGATGTATGTGTAAATAATTATGGCAGTTTATTACGAAACATCCATTTCTCATCTGCCTAGCAGTCTTATACTCGTCATAACTGATTATGACCATCTTTACATGTACTTTATTTTTTGTAACCGTGTCTATTATTTATTCGAATCCGTCCTCTATGTTCTCATTCCGTGTATACTTGTTCATCGCTTTATTCCACAATTTTATATGTTGATTTTTCATATGGATTCGGAAGTATCATTATCTGAGTTGATACGTAGCTTACCTTAAGAGTCATCCATTCAGTTTACACTCATGACTCGCCTTCTGATACGAACGTATGAAATATATGTATATTATAGACATTTCCCATTTAATCTCTGATATTATACTATGAAAATGTTTTAAATCGCGGGTTTATGTAAGCATTTGAAAACGAAATGTTATTTTTAACTGTCTTCGTCAACTGGGTTCAACTAAGGGTATAATATACTGAATATGCCACAGGCATATGGAGTTTGAAGACGCCTTTACATGTATATGATAAATAGGAGTATTTGAATTAAAGTCTAAACTAGGAATCCCGAAAATAACGCAATTTAACCAAGACATACTAGATGAACACGAATAAATGTATTGTATTTGGAATTCGAAATAAAGCCGTCATCAAGTGCAAAGGAATCGTTAGTTCATACAAATACCACTTTGTAACGCTTTCACAAACGAAGTGCACCAACCCGGTCAGATGGGGTGTCATGGATGAAGGGGTTCGAAGATATATTTGGAAGTCTATCGATATCACGAGAAGCTTTTATTGAAAGCTGGCTAATAGTTGCATAGGATGAGGATGCGGTGAGCGTGAGACGTGGTCAGGTAGAAGTTTTAATCCAACGAGATTTCCGTTGGTGAACACTCACCTGATAGCTTGCTAGTTTCAGCAGCATCTGGTCATCTTTTTTTAATATAAGGGGTCATGTGGTACAATATGTGAATGTAACAATGTACAATGACAATTTTTTATGAGGTCTCAGGAGAAACGTTCTATGAATCGATTTCTTCTTTGGTGAGGTATTGTCAAATAGAAATTTATTGCCCATTATTAGAGTGATTTAATTGCGGTTGCGTGATCACATATGATGACCGACTCTATTATTTGTAGTATACTTCAAAGGTCTCATTACCATATGTTTCAATTTGTGATTGCAACAACATTTATGCATTACATTGCCATGACGTGCCGCTCAGAATATTTGTTTTCCTTTATTCTTCCAGAACAAATAAAACCCTGCATCATATACGACTTACTTAGGTATGAAGGGAATTGAGAAGTAAGATGTAAATAGGTGATTGACTGCTAAGTGCGCTGGTTCCATTGGGTAATATGCTACTAATTCTAATAAATTCTGATAAGGGATTTAATATTTAGGGATTAGTTTTCATACGCTAAACTAGATGATCATTTTGTCAGGGTTCAATAACGTTTCACTGACCAACAAATCATGTCGATGGAAAAGTAAGTTGATATATGTAAAGCCAAAACTATTTAGTTATTTGCAAGGCTTTGAGAAGGAATTCGTGTACATGTATATGAACATCACTGGTGTAGATCACTAACTTAGATGATCTATGTCGAATGTTTGGAGACCTACTCGAGTTAAACGGGAACGGTGTGACGAACCAGCTAACTTCTTAGCCACACATTGGGATCAGCATCTAACGTGGATTACCCCTTAGACGTATTGAAATGCTATCTCTGCTTTGAAGACAGTATAACACAAAAGACGTTGTTATGGAAATGTATGAGTAGGAATGAATACAGCGAAAATAGCAAGATGACCACCGCATGCGCCAGTCCGTTGCATACGACTAACCGATGCGCGTTGGCTGTCCCTGACCTTGATGGGGATCGATGATCTGTCGATATTCAGCGACCCAACTTTTGGATGATTTGGCTAGAGCCTAGTGACATTTCACTATCCCTACACTGGGAAACATTGACAAACGTTACTTGGTCTATTCGTTGACCATGAAATGTGATTTGTTTCAAGTAAATTTTTTTGCCAGAGTGAAAGATACTATGTATGAATATCTTTTGTCATTCCAGAATGATTTGACACTAATGATCATGTTTTCTCATTAAAACGTCGGCACGCTCTCTATCTCCCTCGAGGTTATTAGCAGTGGGGACAAGATCGGTGTTTGACAAAATTCGAAAACATATCGGACACTTGGGATCTAACTTTACTACTTCCTGAATCCTTATTCATGAACTGATTCCACGGCCAGAAAATTCAGTAGCTCAGACTGATAGTAAAGGGGTGGATGAATTATAGCTTATAATATCTAAGTTTTCTAGACGTTGCTCTGTGTTTCAAAACATGATGCAGTAGGAATACTTAGCTGAGGGAACTTGGCTATTGATGCGGGTAATAGTGATAAATTGCACAGCATCAATGTCTACGGTTTGATGAGCTTTTTATTTTAGGGACTCAGTCATAAGTGGATCATGGAGATAAGTTCAGTTTGTTAAAAGTTTTCTCCATGAACTAACACTAGTTTCAGAAAAATTAAAAATTAGAAAATACATGGCAAACGTGTCGCGTTAGTTTCTTTCATTACAGGGGTCCTTATCAACGAAGTTTTAAAGGATTAATTTCTGTACTTCAGATCTTGAGGTTAGAGCCCGGTCAAACAATCACTAGTTACTTATGTCGAAAACTAGTAATGAAATCTAAACTTTAGATAGAATTATATTTAAAGGGAAATTCCGCTTCTTACTCAAAGAAAGGTGTGAAAGAACCTAAATGGAGAATTTTTATGCTATGAATTTCAGTTGAAAAAATTAGTAAAACTTTTACCAGTTACTTTGTTTTTATTCAATATAAGTATACTACTGATTTTTGCTAGTTAGTAGATAGATTGTTTACGAAGCATTTATTAGACACATTAAAGTCCATGCTCTCCCCTATTGAAAAAGATCGATCGCATCAGAGGGAACAAGGAAGTCTAAAACACTTAGTCACTATATATATATATATATATATATATACGCCAGAAATGCAAATCACTTCTCTTATTCATATTATTATTCGATGATGTCAAAATAAAGTTTATGTATTCTGTTTTTTAGTTATCTTAACCGTCAAGTCTCCATATATTTACATGCATGAATACAATCAATACTAAACAACCCATAACTGCATTATGTCAACTCAATTATTAACATCAAAATATTCACTCATAGGAATTTAATGACTCACTTATCACTAATAAAAGTAGTGAAAAGAACTATTGACAAAAAAGATCATGAGTCAATTGAAGCTAGACCATCGTGGAAAGCCCTGGAAGCACTGGACGACCGTTTCGTCCTATTGTGGGACTCCATAGCAGTGCGTGTCCACGATCTCGTCTCACGAGATTCGAACCCAGGACCTATCGTCAAACTCATGTTATCAACTATAATATCCACAAAACTCCTTCTGAAAAACTAAAAGAGTAAAAGTTGTCTAAGTGAACTTTGTAACTAAAAAAAATACAAAAATAAAGAAAGACAAAAATCTGTTGAATGAACTCAACTCTTTTATATATATGTAAAATTAAAAAAAAATTTACAACCGTAGTTAAAAAGTAAGTTACAACTAAAACAGGAAATCAAAATTAATGGCCATATATAGAAATTTAAAAAAACACAACACATACACACAATTGAATTCACTTATATGTAATATTAATGACAATAAATAATGTTTTCCACCTTAATAATAATAATAATAATAAACATAGTTACTGACTAACCATATGTACCTGATTGATTCTGTTTCTCTTTTATGATGCATGTTTGTCTATCTATCTATTTTTCTATCTAGTCAATATTACTAAATTACTGATGAATTTATTAATTCCAAATGAATAATATATATATATATATATATATATATATATATATATATATATATATATATAGATATAGGGAGCGAGAGAGAGGGAGGGAGGGAGACAGGGGTATGATTTGGAAAAAGGAAAGAAACACTTGAAACATAATGAAAATCAATCATTTTTTTCTAATTGATTTCTTTTTTACAACACATGTAATATAATCAAGATATAGAGAAAATACAAAAAAAAAACAAGAAGAAGAAATTATGAAAATAATCATAAATAATTGTATATTTCTTTTAGGGATCAATATTATTTTGGTGAAATGGTGAATAAGAAGAAGTGCATCTAAAACAAAAAAAAATTATTATCTTTTTTCAGTCTATAAAAAAACAGGTATCGAATGGTGTTGTTTACTTTATTAAGTGTACGTACAAAAATGTGTATAGTAAGCAAAGATGGATAATGGCTAGTAGTGGAATCCAATTTGACACGCGTTTCATCCTATTTGGGACTGGTAAGTTGGATGTACCTGTATCTCAGAGTTGATGTTCACTCTGGGACTCAAAACCCAGTACCTTTCGCTTTAAATGTCATCGCGTTATCCACTCGGCCACTGAGTCCTGATGTGTATAGTTTTCGAATCTCAATTTCAATTATAGATTTTGAAGGAAAGTTCTAAGAAATGAATTATGGTGGATGTGCAGCTCAGTTTTGTGGATTAGTTGAAATTAGACATTAATACCATTGGATGCCAATCAGCTCAGTGGTCTATCGTTTAAGCGCTCGCGTGTGAGACTGGTAGGTCCTGTGTTGGAATCTAGCGAAGAGAGATTGTGAATGAACACTGCTAAGAAGTTCCACAATAGGACAAAACGGTCATCCAGTGCTTACAGGTTTTCCATGGTGGTCTACCTTCAATTAACTCATTATCTCAACTATTAAAACATATTATTGTTTAAAACTTAATTTGAACTTCACATAAACTTGTTTTTTTTTGAAAC